AATCCTCCCTCTTCAAGTTGGCGATCCAACGACCAACCCGTCCGTGGAGGATCAGGAATCAGAAAGGTGGAATAACTCTTTTTTTTCCACTTTTACCCGATGTATTCCAGCATCCAGCTGCCATGCACGTGGGCATTGTCAGTTTCACTATAGCTCTGGTGAATTTCAATGGTGAAGTCCTCTGGAAATCTTCAATAATTGTTGTTGATTGCAGCTGTGTCTAGTAGTTCCCATTGATTTAGCTTGGAAAGCGGGGAGAATGGCGCTAGGCTAACCGCACCGTGACGTCACTGCTGGAAGATGGCAGGGGGGAGGGGCTACTATATTTGGGGAAAAATGGCCGGTCGCAGACTCTGAGATCACAATGAAAATCATTGTTTTTTTATTGATTAACGCTAAATATCTTAAATCACGGCGAATGTATTAGTTTTAGGTCTAAATAATGATCCATTGGTTAATCTTTGCTGAACGGACTTTTCCTTTAAGGACTCATCAGCTGCAGGAACGCGGGATCTAGATCAGAATACAGTCACATTTCAAACCTTTTTTTAAAAAACATTTCTCTCCTTCCAAAAGTTTCAGGATGTGTGAAGCCAGACGTCCGCCGAACGTCCAGGCTAGGTTTCCACCTGGACCTGGATTGTTTAATCCTGACACGCCATAGAACATCAAAGCTAATATTAACATTTAAGACAAGCCCCCTTTTTTTCTCTGAGATGATCTGAGATGTTTGGCACTATTTCACATTCAACAATAACAGTATTTACAGTTACAATCGGCTTAAAGTGAAAATAAAATCCCCCGGGGAAATTAAAACATGCTTTGGCCACAAAACCAAACCTAAAAAGTTGTTTTTTTCCCCTTTAAACTAGACTCATGCTTCGCGTTGATGACGGCCAGGCAGGAAGGACCGACTGGCTTCTTATAGGCACCGATATTTGCTCCTGTTCAAAATGAAACACAAATGGTATTTTTTGCCCGCGGGGCTCTTGGTAGCTTCGTCTCAAGCTGTTTGTGCTTTTTGAGCCAACCGATGCTGGCTGTGGAAACTCTTATGGCAAAGTGAGCCTGCAGGCTGCGGCGCAGCGGTGCAGGCGAGGCCAGCGGCCTCATCCCGGTCCGTCTAGTCACTCAAAGCTCGCACCATCAGGATGGATGGAAGGAAACTCCGCTGAAAGGTGACATCATCCGCTTCGTTCCTTGGAAAGATCCGGTTATCTAGAGCCGGGAGGAAAATTCCGTTCCTGGGAAACCGTTGGTTCAGACTGGAGGAACTGGTTTTCTGTTTGGGTGCTTTGTCAGAACTCCCAGTGAGAGTGAACTAATGAGGCGATGGAACCCATCACCAATTCCACCTTAAACCCAGGTGGTAGGTACCCACCCTGGAACACCCGGGTCCCTCTAACTGACACCGTCCACTGGAACCTCCCAGCCACCCAGTCTGAACCTATGGCTCTGGACCTGGAACCATGTTGTTTTTAACCAGCTGATTGTGAAGGTCACGATCAATCGCACCTGGCGCCCGGTTATTTGTCGTAAAAACAACAAAGAACTGATATTGATTTTTAAACCTGGTTGGAAAAGTTTATTTTTTCCTCACTAACTAAGCCTTTCTTTCAGCTTTAGATTATCAGTAACTGATAAAAACACCAGAAACTGGTCAATGTGCTTATCTTCTATCTTAGCACTGATGGCTAATTTCATCTAAGACCTGTTTGGGCTTCATGTCTTACTGCTGACTTGGTTCTGATGCCATTTAGACCCAAACAGCCTGGAAATCATTGGTCACACTGCAAAAAATTGAAATCTAAGTAAGTTTATTTTTCTTTAAATAAGAGCATTTCTTTCTTGAATTAAGCAGTTAAGTGATACACTTTGCCAATGGAATAAGGCGATTTACATCTAAAATAAGAAAAAAAACAATTGCGTTGTCTTATTCCAAGTGGATATTATCTAATTATCTTATTTTAAGAGTAAAAATACTCATTCCATTGGCAAATCGTATTATTTACTTGCTTGAATTATGCTAAATACACTAATTTTAAGACATTTTTACTCGTTTCCAGATTGTTTTTGCAGTGCACAACATAAAAAAAACAAAAAATCAATCCTCTGGACTTTGTTTCCAAGTTTGAAGACGTTTCTCTTCCATCCAGGAAGATTTTTCAATTCAAAATGTCAGAAATAGCGTTTAGTTCCAGGTTTTATCCAGCAGCCCAACAAAGCCTGGTTTTAGTTTAGAAAACATGCAAATAGAAACGGATGAACGGGTCCCCCCCTTTGGAATGGGGGACGTTTGGCTTCTTTGTTAGCCTGCAATGCCCCATACCTGTCTATGACTCTGAAAGGGGGGGCATTAAAGGGAATTGTTGGCCTGGATGAATATTCCTTTTCCTATTCAACACTTTTTGGAGTGTTTTTGGTCCGCTCTATAAACCCTGGAACTAAACGCTATTTCTGACATTTTGAATAGAAAAAGCTTCCTGGATGGAAGCGAAACATCTTTAAACCGGGAACCAAAGTCCAGTGGATTGTTTTTAATTTTTTTTGGAATGACTATGACCTGGATGACTGAGAATCTTCGCCAGTATATCCAAGGAACTCCTTTAGAAATGTAAAAAGGGACCCAATAGTCTATATATATTCTCCATCTGCTTGTTTTCCTTCAGAGAAGTTGCCGGTGTTCAGTCACACTGGAAAAAAATCTAGTCTAGATAAGTCATTTTTTCTTAAAATAAGTGCATTTGTTCTTGGATTGAGGAGGTAAAAGAGACATTTTGCCAATGGAACAAGACAATTTACACTTAAAATAAGAAAACACAATTAAATATTCTTATTTCAAGTGCAAATTATCTAATTATCTTATTTTAGGAGTAAAAATACTCATTCCATTGGCAAACTATCTCATTTACCTACTAAAATTAAGGTTAAATACAAATAATTTAAGAAATTTTTACTTATTTCTAGATTGTTTTTCTAGTGCAGACCAGCATACCCACACACTGCAAAAAAAATTAAATCTAAATAAGTCATTTCTTCTTAAAATAAGTGCATTTTTCTTGAATTAAGTATTTAAGTGAGACACTTTGCCAATGGAACAAGACAATTTACTCTTAAAATAAGAAAAAAAACTATTGCATTGTCTTATTTCAAGTTCATATTATCTAATTATCTTATTTTAAGAGTAAAAATACTAATTTCATTGGCAAATCATCTAATTTACCTGCTCAAATTAATTGTAAATACTCTTAATTTAAGACATTTTTACTCATTTTGAGGCCGTTTTTGCAGTGCAGTCGATACACTGGAAAAACAATCTAGAAATAAGTTAAAATGTCTTTAATTAAGTTTATTTACCCAAAATTTTAGTAGGTAAATAAGATAGTTTTAGAGTATTTTTACTCTTAAAATAAGATATTTAGATAAAATGCGCTTGAAATAAGACAATGCAATTGTGTTTTCTTATTTTAAATGTAAATTGTCTTGTTCCGTTGGCAAAATGTCTCTTTTATCTCCTCAATTCAAGAACAAATGCACTTATTTTAAGAAAAAATTACTTATCTAGATTTTGATTTTTTCCAGTGTACCCGTTTATCGCTTTAGTTTTGTCTGAAAAAATACTTTAAACTGCCTCAATGGGCGTACATCCCTTTAGTCATGTAAAAAAGAACAAAAAAACCCCAATGAATTACTTAATTTTTTGTGTTTTTGAAGTGTATGGCCATCTAATCTTAATAAGTTTTTTTTTTGTACATGACTGAAGGGATGCACACACCAATTGAGGTAGCTTAAAGTTTATTTTTCATACAAAACTAAAGGGAAAAACACAAATATGCCTTCAGGCAGACGATACAGAGCAATCAAACCAAGAACCAACCGCCTTAGAGACAATAACAAAACTAAATGCAACCAAAAATAACCGTTAATCATCATGGATGATGTGTGTCAGAATGTGCTATTCTTATTAGTTGTTTTTATCAGTTATTGTTATTTATTTCTTAAATTAGGTGTAAATGGGGGTGACAGTGATTTTTGTTTTTGTCTTTAAAGCATATGCACTGATCGATCGATCGGCACTTTTTTAAAATTTCGTTATTCTTGTGACAATGACAATAAAGATAAATTGAATTGAATGAAGTCTTGTGCATGTGTATTGACTATGGGTATGCTGGTCTGCAGAGATGGGAAGTAACGAAGTACAAATACTTCGTTACTGTACTCAAGTAGATTTTTCTGATATTTTTACTTTACTTTACTACTTATTTTTATGGCGACTTTTTACTTCTACTCCTTACATTTTTACACAAATATCTGTACTTTCTACTCCTTACATTTTAAAAAATTGGCTCGTTACTTTAGTTTTGAATCATTTCAATGGAGTTACCGTTATTTTTTTTCACGTCATCAATACCAAATTCAATCTAATTGGATGGGAATCTACGTTGCATTTGACGCACCGCTACAAGATGAATCGACAGATTCGGCGGTATTCATTGGCGGCAAATCATTGCAGCTTGGTGGCGGTGGCGTTAGCATAGTAGCATGGACGACGAGATGATTGAAAATGAACACAACGGAGATCTAGTCCTATTGGCAGACATCCATTTAAAATGTAGGCAACGGCATGAAAAAAGTGGTTTCTACTTTTACTTTTATACTTTAAGTAAATTTACAAGCCTGTACTTTGTTACTTTTACTTGAGTAAAGAAGTTTAATCAGTACTTCCACTTTAACCAGAGTATTTTTTAACACAAGTATCTGTACTTTTACTCAAGTACGGAAAGTGAGTACTTTTGCCATCTCTGCTGGTCTGACTGAACGCTGTGTTGCTTTGGGATATAACTGCGTTTTTTCCGAAATGTCAGATTTTTGAAATAATGTTTCAATGTATTTCTGTGTCATAAGAGCTAATGTGGGACCAGTTCCAGCAACACTTAGATGAATAATGGCTGGAAACCTCTAACCCCTGGACTCCACATGCTCCGTTTCTGCTCCGTAGAAACTACCCTGCTATGTAGATTAACGAGAACAGATCCACTTTCTCTGTGTCGACTCCAAACGCCACCGCAGATGCACCGCTTTCCATCATTTATCATTAAATTATAGAAAAAAAAACAATTTTCTGTTCTGTTCTGGTCGGAGGAGCTTAGAGAAGAGGTCTGCAGAGTTACTGCAGATTTAGGGGGAGGTGCTTTTCACGACAGAAGAGGGGAATGTGGAATAACTGTGTTATAAATGTGCATCCATGGGACCCAGATGGGGGGGTGCATCCTGCACTGTTGGGTCCCTCAGAGCCCCTGCATTGAACCGGTAACTTAAGCCTGTTCCAAAATCTGCAGAAAATCTCATTTTTAGGTCATTTTTCTGGCTGCAGTCGTAACCATTTGCTTAAATATGGAAGTTGATGAACCTTTAACAGGCAAAAAAAATCATTATATTCAACAAAATGAAAGGCTTTAAAATATTAAGACTGTAAAATACAGTCTTTATCATGTATTTGTGGGTGATGGAGCTACTGAAATAAAAGAATCATGTTCTGATCTATTAAATATGACTGATTGTTGGACATCTTGGGTGTTTTTTTGTGCAGCATAAAGATGACGGATGGCTGGGATTCATTTTATGCCTTTTGACACCTAAGAAGCCACATTATAGAGGCCCGTAAAAGCCAAACTCCATCACAGGCGTCCTGCTCTTTCCCGCTGAGGTCATAAATCAAACTTCAGGAACATAAATGAAGCTTTTACATCACTTGGGGACATTCCCATAATGGCCATTTTTTCATCCTATTTCCTTTCCACGTCTGGATCCCAGCGTCATCCATCACGGCTCACGCCCTGCAGCACCTAAAGCGCTTCATGAGTTTGTGGAAAGCCTGCTTGAAGTCCTCGTTGGACATGGTGTAGATGATGGGGTTGATCAGAGAGTTGAGGTAACCGAGCCAGGTGAAGATGTCAAAGAGACCCGGGTGGAAGCAGGAGTCGCAGAGAGGCACTAGGAGGGTGTAGATGAAGAAGGGCAGCCAGCAGATGATGTAGGCTCCCAGGATGATTCCCAGAGTCTTGGTGGCCTTCCTCTCTCTGGCCGCAGAGATGCGCTTCTTCTCCAGCAGCGCGTCGGACACAGTGACTTTGACTTGGCTCACGTTCGGGCAGGAGGAGGTAGTGTCACAGGAGGAGGCGTCGTTCGTCCCGTAGTTCAGGGAGGTGGTGGAGGCCACGGAGCCGGGGGAGTTGGTGATCAGGCGCGCAGAGGTCAGCCGCTTCCCCGGCTTGTTGTGCGCCTGCTTCAGGATGCGCTTCCGCGCCTCCACGTAGATCCGGCCGTAAAGGCAGATGAGCAGCAGCGTGGGGATGTAGAAGGCGCCGAAGGTGGAGTAGATGGTGTAGAAGATGTGGTCCGTGTTCACGTTGCAGCTCGTCACCTCCTCCGCCTTCACCTGGCGCCAGAAGAAGGGCGGCAGCGAGATGGAGATGGCGATGACCCAGGCGGTCACGATCATCCCGGCCGCGCGCCCCGGCGTGCGCTTCTTGGAGTACTCCACCGCGTCCGTGATGGCCCAGTAGCGGTCCAGCGCAATGACGCACAGGTGGAGGATGGAGGCGGTGCAGCACGTGATGTCCGAGGACAGCCAGATGTCGCACAGCACCTGGCCCAGCGTCCAGGTCTGCAGGACGGTGTAGAGCGCGCTGATGGGCATCACCAGGATGGACACCAGCAGGTCCGTGAGCGCGAGCGACGCGATCAGGAAGTTGGCCGGGGTGTGAAGTTTCCGGGACTGGTAGATGGTGGCGATGACGAAGGCGTTGGAGAGCGTGGTGGCGAAGGTGATGAGAGCCAGAGCCGCGGCCAGAGCCGCCTGGAAGGGGAGGCTGGAGCCCCGCTCCTCCGCCCCGGAGCCGGAGCTGTTGTTGGTGTCATTGGTGGAGAAGTTGAGCGCATCTCCGTAGCTGGCGGCCGTCTCCATCCCTCCACCTTCCGTCACATCCTCCGCTCATGGAGCTCCGGGCGTCCTCCCTCCATCTGCCGCGTGCCTCCTCCTCTTCATCATCCCAAATGTTCGGTCAGCTGGAGCAACCAGATTAATCCAGATAAGAGCCTCATCCGGCGGCCAACGTCTGAGCTCCGCTCTGAGCGCCTCCTGCCAACTTCAGAGCAGCTCAGGGTCTCCAGCTTTTATAGCGCAGTCTCCTCCTCCTCCTCCTCCTCCTCCTCTCTCTCCTCTTCCTCCTGCAGGGACCGGAGGAACAGGGCCACTAGGTCTCCTTATTTTACTCCTTTTCCTGCTTCTTTAGAGATAAAGGAAAGTTTTTACAGTAAAGTAGTTTTAGTTTATAGCAGCATAAAGTCACTTTAGGTTCAAAATAATCAGATTGATTCCAAAACTCTGCAAAGTTGATCATTTCTAGAACTTTAAAGATTTATTTATTTTTTAAATATGCTGAGAAAAGAATAATTTAATCAACCAGATTCTGCGCTTTAGTCTGGAACTCTCCATGGTTCTGATTCTGGTTCTGTTTGTCAGCCGGTCCCTGAAAACAGATGGAGTCGGAACCAGAACCAGAACCAGGATCTGATGTCCCACTGATGGGAGGCAGGCAGGGGCGGATTTAGGAAATGTGGGGCCCTAGGCAAAGACAGGCAGGGGCCCCTCTGAATTGAAAACAGATAAAACAGCCCCATTCTACAGATAGAGAAATGTTAATAGAACAGACATCCATTATTTGTTCTATTTGATGAAGGGTGGATGATGGAGATTAGATGGAAAACAAATTATTTTCAATTCTTCCAGATATTTTTAGATGGATGTAGACAAGGAATTTGACAGAGCAATTCTAATCCATCCATCAACCCTCTGGCTTCATGTTCAGGGTAGCTATAGGAGCCAAAGCGCACTAAATGGTGTTTTTATTAGTACTATAATAATTTGCTGTGTTATTTGTTATATTAAAGGAACAGTACACCCAAAACATGATTAGCCTTCATTTTCTACTCACCCCCATGCTGAACAACACTCTGGAGTACTTTTTTGATATCTCAAATGCATCTGGAGATCTGGGAGGCTTCTTGCTGTCTGCTGACATTCAAATAATGGAGGTCTATGGCGCCCGAGGCAGATAAAAGTCCACAAAAAACGTGTCAATATTCCTCCATACTGCTCGTCCAATGTATTCCAAGTGTCCTGAGTGGGTAGCGTCCAGAATTTACTCGAAACGAAGTCATTTAGAATGTTTTTAGAGCATAAACAGTAGTGTATAGGATTTCCTGAAAGCGCGATCACGAGTCTACGGAAACCGCGGCAGACCAAACCAGATGAAAGTGCGCATTCAGCTCGGCAAAGAACTCATGCTCTTCCTCAACACTGAAGTCCTCAGACATTTTTCTTTCGTTGTTTCTTTCTTTGCACAGGTAAACAGCACATTTCTTCTTCTACGCTTGCATTATCGGCAGAGCAGACGCTGAATGCGCACTTTCCTCTGGTTTGGTCTGCCGCGGTTTCCGTAGACTCGTAAACGCGCTTTCAGGAAATCCTATACACTACTGTTTATGCTCTAAAAACATTCTAAATGACTTCGTTTCGAGTAAATTCTGGATGCTACCCACTCAGGACACTTGGAATACATTGGACGAGCAGTATGGAGGAATATTGACACGTTTTTTGTGGACTTTTATGGACCTTTCTGTCTCGGGCACAATAGACCTCCATTATTTGAATGTCAGCAGACAGCAAGAAGCCTCCCAGATCTCCAGATGCATTTGAGATATCAAAAAGTACTCCAGAGTGTTGTTCAGCATGGGGGTGAGTAGAAAATGAAGGCTAATCATGTTTTGGGTGTACTATTCCTTTAAGTATGAGGAAAGGTTTAATTTAGACTTATATTAGTCTACTATTGGTTTGGTGCGTCTTTAAGAGGCCTGCGTACTGTCCTCACAGGTTTTTCGGCAGCGTTTGTCTTTCCGGGTCAGTGCGCCGGAAGTTAAGAGTAGAGACGGAGGCTAAACAGTTTTTGCACCGTAGCCGTTTTTATAAGTTTATTAGAGCAGTATCAGCCAGCTTTGGACATTGTCAGCTGTGGTTTAACCTTGGATCACTCCTGTAACGGAACCGCCCTGTGGAACTAAATAAATGTTCGTCTGACGTCCTTTATATCGGAGTACTGTGGAGTTCTTCACGGCTAACAACTTAGCCGCTACAGCACGAGTAACATAAACAACGTCTCGTTTACCTTCGGCCCTCATAGTAGTTCTTCTGCTTGAAGGTAAAACTGGTCTCATTTAGCATTTTGTAAATCCCATTGAGTTCTGTTGGAATAGTCAATATCCATCCGCCACCGGAAACGGAAATGGGGCCTGTTTACGCTTAGTTGAAGTCTTTTCGCTTCACTCTGTGTACTCCGACGTCGAGGTGCTAACGTCTCTGTTAAACACTTTAAAAAACTCTGAAAATGGAATACGAAAGGTGGATTCTTGAGGAGGACATATTGGACTTTGAGTTTGACGGTAGAGGATACCGTCGCCAACTAGTGGTCTGGAGTGTGCAACGCTTCAGATTCGAACGGGAAGCGGAAGTTTATAAGCGGTTGTGATGTATCGGAAAAAATAGTTCTGGGATTTACAAAATGCTAAATAAAACAAGACAGGAACGGTTTTTCTTCACGAAACTTTTTTGGAACGTCATTGAACAGCGCTGACGACCCGGTGAGTAGCATATTTTAAAAAAAGAACATTTAAGGTTGTTTTAAGGACATTATCGGACATGCACAATGGAAGCCATTCTGAAGCAGCCAGGGGGGGATTCTGCATGAGCCAAATAGCAGAGACAGGACCAATCGTCAAAATTTTGGTGCCGATCATTCGATTTCATCCTGGGCACTACAGAAAATGGGCTAAAAGTGTTAAAAACCGGAATTTTCCTTTAATAATAATAATATCGCACATGCTCTCCTTGAGCCCAGAGGAAGTCGGAGCGGAGCAGGATGGGAGCACTGAAAATAAAATAATGCAAATACTGCAGTCATATTTAGTTTTTTTAACAAAACTGTTTCATGTTAGCAGGGTAGGGCATAAAACAATTGTGTTAAAGTAACTAAATATGATGAAGCAAATTTCAAAAGTGGTAGCATTCCTTTCGTTTCAGTGAGGAACAGCGGAGGCTGGAGGCTTTGCTTTGTGCAGGAGGTCTGGAGCGCAGAGGGGCGGAGCATGTGGGATTTCGGGGTTAGACTTAGACAGGGTGTTTTGCACAGCTCTCATGACATTTCAGTTTCTTAAAGTGCAGCAGTGATCAGATTTAAAGATTGAGAGGAAAAACATGGTGCAAAAAACCCCAGTTTGATGCAGAGTCTGTAACATGATTTAGAGTTTTTTCAGCAGTTCATCAGTGTGATGGCGGTGGGGAAGAAGCTGCTGCAGAACCTGCAGTTCTTCTAGAGATATTATGACTTTTTCTAGAAACTGCAGAACGTTGATGAAAACATCAAGTCCAGATAAATTGACTTCTTTAATCTCTAATCTAGAAGTACAGGAAAACATTTCTGATTTTTCATATATTTACATATTTTTAAATTTCCTTTTTCACATTATCAGCAGGAAGTCCAGGTTCACATTTTAATGAACCACTGCTTCCGATCAGGATAAGTAGATGAGCAGCAGCTGGTCGAAGAGCTTCTCCTCTCTTCGGCCTTTATCTGCTGCTTCAGATTGATTAGGATCGCATTAACAAACAGAGAGAGGTGACAATGGAAACCAGCCGGAGAGAAAGTATAGAAACCTTCAAAGCGACGAGCTGCAATAAATCAAGATAAGGCAGGATGCAGGAAAAAAAGGCAAAGCAGAGAAAATGATGAAATTCAAAGCAACCCAGAGGTTTGTTCTCATTCATGTTTGAACTTTAGTTAAATATTAAAGCACAGAGAAAATGAGCAACAGGGCAGCAAATAAATAAGCAGCGCTGATGTGTGACAACAGATTTAAAATTCACATCACCTGTGAGTCATTTCCACTCAGGTCTACGTCTCATTTAATTAGCGGCTCTGATGAGTGTCGATGATACTGGGCTGGAAATGAATGTAACCTCGTTAAAACGGGGATTCCACCAAGAGTGATAACGAGAGCAGGATGGATGGATGGATGGATGGATGGATGGATGGAT